ACATTAGTTATTGCAACCAAATTGATGACTTGGAACTGGAACACAAGACTTCGACAATTTGATGAGGATGTTCTAAACTACCATTCCGGAATCAAACATTGCGTGCTGGAAATTTTCCTATTTATAGATACCCTCTGGTAAACTAACATACTATAGAAAATCACCATGTTGAATAGGTAAAGCAACTATAAATATGGTATTTTCAATAGCTATGTAACAAATTACCAGAGGGTATATCCCATGCATAATCCATTAAATCACTATAAAGTTCCATTAAACAGCAATAAATCACCATATATATATATATATTTATTTAAAAAAAAAAACATACAATCAGCATCAAGTCACCATTAAATCCCATTGTAAACCAGCTATAAACCTTTATTTATAGGTGTATTTTCCATAGCTTCATGGATGTTGGTTTCGATTCAGCCCATGGTTACATCCTCCCAACCCTCACAAAGAGTTCATAGCAATCCAAAAACAAACATCTTGACCAACAAAGAAGCCAGAGCAGCACCTCCCCAAAAACAAACAAACCAATGTGAAGGACTCCAGACAAAGAGTTCATAAAGATTATATTCCCATATATAACTGCTGGGTTTATGGGGGACTTTTACCAGGATATCACCATTTCCGAATGCCCAACTGGTGGGTTTATGGGGGGATATAACAATTTAATATAACCAGTTATGGGTTTGATTGCACACCCCAACAGTTCCTTGGTGATACATCGGTCAGGCGAGGGAATCCTCAACGTCCTGGACCTCAGGCGCAGGTGCTTGTTTTTGGCGATTCGCAGTTGTTTTTTTGTTCAAAGCCATGGGTGATTAATACAGTGATAAGTGACAAGTGTTGTTTAATACCTAGTAATTGATTACCCTCTGGTAAACTAACAGTTTGCAATTGAAAATGGCCCAGTTATCATTGATTTACCTATTAAAAGTGGTGCTTGTCCAGTTCGCTATGTTAGTTTACCAGAGGGTAAGTGTTGTCTAATACCTAGAAATTGGGTTAACACCTAGGTCAATCAACTGGGTAGAAACTCATCCTTTAGTTTACCACAGGGGAAGTGGTGTCTAATACCTAGAAATTGGGTTAACACCTAGGTCAATCAACTGGGTAGAAACTCATCCTTTAGTCTTTTTGGTATGGGATTATCTACTAACCAGCTCAGAATCTCATCTTTTGGCAGGGTATCTAAGATTGGCCATGCAACTATAGTGGGGCTTTCACCAGCTACCGTGGCTGTTGGTATCTACATTGCCACGAATTGAGTTTCCCAACCACATGATAGTGTTTCCAGGATGGTAGTTCAATTAGTTGAGGGGTCCTTTTTTGGCGATTTTATCCATCACTTGCAAGTACCTGTTTGAGATTCTCTCCCCACTATGTTGGGTGATGTTGAGTTAAGACATTTACCATTATAGTGCTCAGGTGACAGGGGCGCCTTGCGTTTGCCGCTCACATTTTGGAGCGGATAAAAACCAGAAGAATGTACCTACAATGTGGGCCCCCCCAGGTATAAGTTTGTTTATAAGCCCCAGTAACTATAGTTATAAGTACCATAAACCACAGTTATTGGAGTTATAAAGCAACTTAGCTATCTTGGGGGCTTCACATTGTACAAAATCTGAACAGTGGGAAGCAGGGAAGAGATTTCAGTTGTGGGATGTGCCTCTTAAGCGTACGAGGCTTTTGGGAAGAAACGTGTGCAGTCATTGCGGCCGCTACCTTATGGTAAACCAACATAAATAACTATGGAAAATCACATTTTTTTAATGGGCAAAACAATTATAAATGGCCATGTTCAATAGCTATGTAACAAATTACCAGAGGCTACAGCATGGTGCACATCTTTTTACTTGGCATGAGATTTGCATTCGATACCCAAGGTGCGGTCGATCGTTTTTCGAGGCGCGGGAAGACTGGCTGCTCTGGCTGGACAAAGCGTGGGAAGCATTTGTAAACTCGAACAATCACAATGAAGGCCACGCTATCGAGCTTCACGCTGATGAATGTCCCACCTACAGTGCTGCCGATCCGATCACGTCCTTTTCCTTTGGGCATGGCGGTGCATTTACCAAGCCTTGTACCTCGATGGAGAAAGACGGTTTGACCTAAACAGGCCGTGCACAGAGATCGTTGCGATCAACATTAAATCGGTTTTTACCCCCGGCACCTCGCAGCTGTCGTACATACACACAATATTATATGTATATATAATTATATATATACTTATTTATTTAATATGTATTTATTTGTTTATTTATTCATTTATTTATTTATTTCTGTCTTTAATATTTTTTTATTTATTCATTTATTTATTTATTCATTTATTCTCGCAAAAAAAAATCATGATTGTCCAATCTTGTGAGGATGTTTGAAACATACTATTCCCAATTCAAGATTGGTTCGGTGATGCCCTCACTGCTCATGATTCGCGAAGCGTTTTCGAGATCACTATCCCGAAATTGCCGAACTTTTTCAGTGAAATGTTTTAATTTAACCAGATAGCCATAAAATTGTAAACCCGTAATCGGAATATATGGCGCCATAATAGTTATATATATATATATATCCGTACCCTATGGATCCAAACACCTCCTGAGAAGGTACTTAACCCCCCAAATCATGTCCCAACCACTTCCTAAGAAGGTACTTGGATCCATAGGGATAGTATTGTTTACCCAGTTATATCCTCAGAGTAAAGCCCTTCTATCTGCATCGGCAGGCGCTGCCACTTGGACCTCTGACTGGACCTACGGCTACGGCTGGGACGGCTGGGACGTGTGGCATCTTGGTGAAATTGATGGAGCGCGAGAGATTGGGATAGAATGGGAATTTAATGGGATTTTCATGGGATTGTATGATGGTGATTTAATGGGATTTTATGAGATTTGATGGGATACTTGGTGGTTCATCCCACTTAGTAAGTGGGTTATAACCCTGGTTTCAAATGGGATAAGTAGGGTTAATCCACTTATAAGTGGAGTTATAACCCACTTACTAACAGGGATAAACCACCAAGTAGGGATTTAATGGGAAATAATGAGATTTATAGGGATTTTATTGGTATGGGGGTGTAGGGTATAATGGGATATTATGTGATTTAATGGGATATAATGGGGTCTCTTGGGTTTGATTTGAATGGTTTGGTACGATTCTAGTTTTATGAGGGTTGAGATGGGGTTGGGATGGGGGTTCCTATGGTTTGATATGGTTAAATTTCATTATTGTGGCTTTACAATGGATGTATAGTAGGGATGGATGGGATATAGCGGTATATATTGGGATGGAAAGAGGGATATAATGGAATGTAATGGGATATACTCTCTGGTAAACTAACATAGATGTGGAAAATTACACTTGTTTACCAGGAAAATCATCTATAAGCGGACCATTTTCCATATGTTAGTTTACTGCAGGCTCAAATGGGATGGAAAGGGACTGCAATGGCCAAGGTATCTGCACGGCCCCTTGTTCTCGGTTTGTCGCAGCTGAGGTACGACACTTCGCAGCAGTTGGACCCTCGGCGTTGGGGACATCCCACGGGCACCCTTTTTTGCCGCGAGCCTCCGGTACTCACGTGGCGTGCTGGAAAATCCACCATTGTTTTTTTGATTTTATAGGTGATTTTCCAAGCTAGAAACCTCCATTAATTTTGGGATTTTCAATTGCCATGTGTTGCACTGTTTGTTGTTTTAGTGACGGATATTTTGTTTATTTTGTGAAGGAAACCGATGTCAATTTAGTGACGGATGTCGCTGATATTTTTGTGACGGAAACCGATGTATTTTTAGTGACGGATATTGTTGTTCTTTCTGGTAGATGAAATTTGTATTACTATTTTAGATGGATACCGGTGATCTTGAAATTGCAGAGATTGATTTTGAGGTTCCATGTCCATGTTGCAATTCAACACTGTAATTTTTGGACCTTGCGGTATCAGTTACTTTCAGAGATGCCTCGTCCTTCAGAATGCCAGCATTTTCTTTGAATCTTTTTGGCTCCAGGAAGTCTGTTTCTTCCACTAACTGACGGTGCCCCCCTGGAGCAATCATGAGCAGCAGCAAGCGTAAGTCAGGTGGTGGGGATGCCAATGTGAGGCGTGCCAAATGGTTACCGTGGGTACCATTGAGCAGTTGGCTCTCCGACCGGTGCAATTATTGGCTGGTAACACACTAGGAGGATTCTGCAATTTGAGGCCCCCAAGATAGCTAAGTTTATAACCCCAATAACTATGGTTTGTATGTTTATGGCACTCAAACATTTGGATTATTTTCCATAATAATGTCAAGTGAGGATTAATAATCCCCCCCGGATTAATCAACCACCATTGCCCAAAAAAGAATGTAATTTAAAAACAGGTGGTCCCCACAGATTAATAAACCGGTGGGCCTACCCCCGATTAATCAACCACCACTTCGGAAATCCATTTTTTTATCCAACATTTTTTATTTCCAATTCTATTTATTTCCAATTGTTTTTTACCTTTTTTTAAATCATCATTGTTATACTTCAGGTTTAAGTTGATCATTGAAAATTTCAAAAAACAACTATTCCCCAAATGATCGATTTCTAATTAAAATATTTATAAAAAAACATCAGTTTGGATAGCTCCCAAAGGGTACCCCCCCATGAGCCCATGTCCCCCAGTAATAATAACCATGGTTTGCCCCTGATTAATCAACCACCTTTCTGATCCATGAAATTTTAACAAATCCAATGGAATTCTATTAAGATCTAATTGACGTAAGCCATATCCAAAGTTTTATGGTTCAGAGTTGCTTATTATTAAGGGGTGATTTTCTAGGTACATCCCTACCTTCTGGGGGGGGGGGGGGGGGTTATTAATCCGGTGTTGGCATTATATGGGTATAATCCTTCCCATTGTCTAATATTTTTCAGAGGGGTTGAAACCACCAACCAGTTTTGTTTGAATGTTTCTCAAATTTCCTGAGACCCAAGATGTCTTTCATATCTTGGGCCCGTCCTGAGGACTGGAATGCGCCTGCCACAGCGTGGGCAAGTTCACGACAAACGGAATGGTAACTGGATGAATGGAGAGGGATGGCTGGCTTCATGGGTGGTGGGAGTCCTTGGTGAAGGGTACCTTTTGGCAATTGAAGTATCGATTTTTGGGCCGCGTTTATAGATGATGCAATAGCTATAAACATGGTGATATAAACATATATATATATATAAGATCCATATATAAGATCCATCACAAATCCTACAGTACTTGGTGGTTCATCCCACGAAGAGTCTGAGTAGGTTTTATAAGCTTGGTTATAGATGGGCTAGGTTTCACTTATGGGCTGGTTGGTGGTTTGGAACATGTTTTATTTTCCCATTTTGGGAAATATCCCAACTGACTAATATTTTTAAGAGGGGTTGAAACCACCAACCAGTCTGGTTTGAACCCACTTACTAGCTGGACCACCAAGTATGGAAAAAATGACCCATTTATAGATGATGTGATGTGCCTATCAAAAATGCTTCTCAAAAATGCCATTTGGAGGGAGTCCCGCATACCACATTTTCAGAGACACCAATATTCTGCCAGTTGTAAACACTTGGGACAACTCTGTTCTATGGGTCTTTAGAAGGGTCATATTAATGTTATGTTCACCACTTACGACAGGGTCGCTTCAACCTATAGGACAGTCATAGCAAGGGAAACGATGGTTATCTTTATTGAGAGTTTCAGGGTAATGGAGGTGATGTACCATTTTTTCCAGCCGTATTTTTTGTGGATATTCCCTTACATCGCCCTGAGATTTAGGCCTGAAAAAGATGCCTTATACCCTCTGGTTATTTAACATGGCCATGGGCATGGCCCATTTATAGATGGTTTACCTATTAAAAAATGTGATTTTCCATGGCTATGTTAAATAACCAGATGGTATATGGTAGATACCTCCAATTTTTATCGGTACCTGAAATGGCCCTTGTAGGGGTGTTGGCAGCATCCCACACGATGGAATGTTCGTCCTACAAGCTGAGGCCCAGCCGGCAATGTTTCTTGATTGAAAAAAAAGAACTCTCGGTGCATCTATCATAGACCCTTAAAAAAGCATCATGACCTCACACAAACTCAGAAAAAAAAACTGCTGTTATATCTATTGTAATCATAGTTACAGTTAGATTTGCTTACATTACATTATATAATCCTTCTAATCATTCTAATCATTCTAATCATTCTAATCATTTAACATTAAGCAATTCAAACATCATCTAACATCATCTAGCATCATCTAACATCATCTGACATCATCTAGCATCATCTGACATCATCTAACACTATCTAGCTATGTATTTCATATGTTTCAATCACCATAAACCCAAAGCTGTTGCCACAGCAACATGTTCACGGCTCGCCCAAGGCGCCCAAGGCGCCGTGAAAACCAGGGCACGGGATCGTCCAGGTGGGGAGAAATCATCCCGGGTGAGTGGTCTCATCAGTTATGAGATGTTTATATTTATAAACATACATACATACATACATACATACATACATACATACATACATACATACATACATATATATATATATATATATGGTATTTATGGTAGATATATATATATATATATATCTGGATTATATGGTATGTATATATATATATGGTGTGTGTATATAGTTATGGTTTACATATATGGTATCTCTTTATACATACATATATATATACATATATATGGTATTTATGGTGTATATATATATATATATGTATATATTTGACAAATATCATATTATATGTATTTGGGTCAATTATAACGTCCTCACTATTCTCCCGAGCCCTGGAATCATGGTTTTTTATAGGGAAATCATCCCCAAGACAGCCTTCTTTCAGGTTGGTGAATTATTAACATTTACCCATATATATATATATATATATATATATGCTATATATATATATATACGGTATATGAGAGATACAGTCTTTTAAAAAAACATACCATATTGATTGTATAGATATGGTCTATGATCTATGAAATGTCCCAATCTGGTATACCTATCATATTCATGTCATGGTTGAATGACTAGAATTGAGGTATACCGTGGTGATTGAAAGTCATATCGGAGTAATGTTTGAATTCCAATGAATTCCATGAAAAAATGGAATTCCATGAATAATATTGGCCTCAATATGGGAAGGTTTTAATATTGGGAACAATATTGGGAATAATATTTGAATGACATGGAATCATATTGGAATCATACGGAATGAAATTCGGTGGCAGGTATGGGTCTTGGATAAATTACAACGAAGTCACATCGCGACATCATTGTACGTGATTGATGGTAGGTTGGGAGCAACCCTTGTATATGTACCATCTGGTTATTTAACATAGCCATGGAAAATCCCCATTTTTAATAGGTAAACCATCTATAAATGGGCCATGGTTTCCATGGCTACGTTAAATAACCAGAGGGGTATTTGAAATATCCATGGTTTCTTGTAGAGTTTCCCTGAGATCATGGTTTGCTGTATTTTTTGGGGGTGGGTGCAATTACCCTCTGGTAAACATACAGATAACTATGGAAAATCACCATTTTTAATTGGGAAAACTCACTATAAATGACCATGTTCAATAGCTACGTTAGTTTACCAGCGGGTACCGTTTCCACTTCTTGTTTCCTCTTCGCAGTTTCAAACAAACATCTATAAATTGATGCTCAGACCCTTTATCACATCAGGAAAAAAACAGAAAAAAACAAAACTATAACTCAAAACCCTGGTGCCCTTCTCACAATAGATGGGATTGATAGTTCATCGCGGCAAAAATGGTCATATAGTTCAAACATTTCCCCTGACAGGTAAACCACCTAGTCACAAGTTGTCACAAGTTTAGGACCTCATCTATAGGTATTTACACTACAAATCCCTATGATATATCCGAAATTGATATCTAATGTGACAAACTCAATTGTAAACCATTACCAATATGACGATAAATGTAATAACAATCCCCAAATGATAGGCTTGGATTTACCACAGTATGATTCACAGAGGCCACAGAAGTATGGTAAGGTATGGATAAGGATGAAAGGATGGATAAGGGCCAATCAGTGGTGTAACCTCTTCAAGCATTGTTTCTTATTAAGGCCTTATCAGCAAAACAGGTTCTCAAACACCTTTTTTGACGCCATCATTGCCTTCACACCAAATAAGGTCTTATTAAGGAAAACCTGTATTTTAGGCCCAAAAAAACAAATTTCCTTATTAAGCATCTATTGCGCTTCCGGGGGGGGTTTGCCGGGGGGTTGTGCTACCTGTGAATGATAGATCCCCACTATTGCCTGCAGTATATCCAGGTATTGTTGCATATATCCCATGATTGTCCCAGGATACTCCCATGAATTAACCATTCAATCAACCGTTTTTTTTGCGGTTACTACCCTCCAGGTTTCAAACATGGCGTGCTGGAAAATTCCCCATTTTGTTCAAAGGTTGTCCCAGCTATAAACCTCTCTTTGTAGTGATATTCCCATTGCTATGTTTGATTAGCGGAGCGCAAACCAGCTTAATAAACATTAGTATCATTAGTATTCATGATAGATGTAAACATGAATACACTTATTCTTTGGATAAATCATCACTAAAAACTGGGATTGCGTTTTCTTTTGGAGTCATTCAATCAACCAGGTTTTATTACTATCCCAGTCCGCCCCCCAGACCGCGTCCCAACGCTACTGCGGCTGCACCGGCGGCGGGCGAAGAACATCTGACTGCCACGGCGGAACTTGAGCTGTCACTGGGCATTTGCCGATGGCAGTGGCTGCCCTCGTGGTGGTTGATGATTTCAATAGCCATTCTATTTGCAACAATGTGGTAAACCCCATAATAAACATACTATTTGGAGATGGTCTTTACAACCCATTTATGGTAATTTTTGGGGATGGCACACCATTAGGTTTACCACATTAGAACTTATAATTCCATGGTCAATAAAACCAGTTATTTATATTTATATATTTCTGTTTGGGATTTAAACCGTCAATATATGCGGAAAAAATAACATAAGTGGACAGAAATGATCAATGATAGTTATATCCAGTTCCCAGTTCTCACCCACTTGTGCCCCAATTAAAGGGGATGATGGTGGATTTTAGTCTCTATATGTTTTTGTTTGTTTTTTATGGTTTTTATATCCGAATTATAAGGGATCAATCCTACCATCAAAACCATATCTATGCATATACTAGCCCATTTGAGCAATGTTCAAAACCCCGTTTGGTTGATGATTGTATTGTATTTAAGGGGGAGCGCGATACAATTTGCATTGGGGATTGGTATCATCCATTGTGGGAATCCTTGTTAGACCAATATTTGCCATACAAAACTTGGGTAAATTGCCCGTATTGAGGGATGGTCATCAATACCTTTCCGAGAAAATTATGCGTGGATTCCTATGAAAAGGGATGGATAATGAAGATAGCCCATATACAATGTTTTGAACATATAGTGCATGGGTTTGACATTTAAACATCGCAGCAGTGTGAGTTCAAAATAATCAACATCGCAAACAGCTGGTTTAGCGCACACCTGTATTTGAGATCTGCGCCTGGGGTTGCTCAGGCATCAAAGGACGAGTTGGGCAGGACCCTGCCTGTGCGGAACGCGGGCCACCTTATCGATGCAGAATTGAACGCGTCAGCCTCGCAAGGATGCGGAGCGAATCAGATTTCTTGCCTTTCACGGCAATCCCCTTGAATTGCGGCGAAGCTATCATCCTGCTATCATCCTGGTACGTGGCCAAGACGGGCCGGGCCTGACTTTCAACTGGCATCCTGTCGCTGTGGTTGCATGGCAGCATCTTTGTAAAGCATGCTGCCCCATGTCTGGGTCAAGCGTGAATGGGCACTTCGATATTCTATCAGCGGGTCTGTGGGGACCATACTAGGGACATGGGAGCAAGTGGTTAACACATGATATTCTTCCATATTCTTCCCATTTGCACGAAACCCCACAAGGGCCATATAAAAGTAGCACGACCATCTTAAAGACTCCATTTTTCAGGTTCCATGTTGAGTTTACATAAGATGCGTACCTAAAATTGAGGAGCGGAAAGGAAAGGAAGGCCATGCTCATCTTGATGATCACCAGCAGAAGGAACAAGAGGTCTTGATGATATAGTGCATGGTTCATAAGTACAATGTTACCAAGTTCGAAATGGAGAACACGCAGTAGTTTACAAAGGTTGTTAACATTTGTTAACCGTTTATTGGATGCGCATCTAAGTACCATTGAGCTCTCCGAAGCTTTTGTGGTTGATGATTTGATAGGATCATCCAGACAGGATCGACAGCACGACGAACGTGACGGTCAGGAGTCATGGGGGGTTGACAAACTGTTGCTCGGTATTTTCCAAGTAGGTTGTCACTGATCATGTTTAGCATGTTTAACCCACTAATGAGGGATTCTACTGAGAAATACTGAGAATATAATATATATATATATAGATATGCTGCTTGGGAAGTTAAGGTGTTGCTCAGGAACCTGCATAGAAACATCTTTGGGAATCCGAAGGCACAACCTCTGAATCTTCCATTAATTTTCTACAATGTGGGCCGCCCCAGTTATGTTTGTTGGTTTAGATTCGCCCCAGTAACTAGTTCGTTATTTGCGTGCCATACACCATAGTGAAATTGGAGTTATGTTAACCCCAACTTAGCTATCGAACGGGGGCCTCACATTGTAGGTAGCAACAGAAAAATAATGTGTGTGGCTATGTGTCAATACGTAGTACCCTGATGGTGCTTATGGATTTTCGCGCGCCGGCAGCTATCCCCTCCATCCTTCTTTTCCAGTACCCCCAAATGGGCTGACACCTAAACCGCGATATACCTTTAATATGAAGCAATGAATCGGAATCTAGCAGGTTACGATTCAATGACATTTCGGGGAAGAAATTGTCTATGACTATAACCCCCTTTTTAAAAGCCATGCTAACGATTTTGACGGAACAGCCCAAAATTCAGTCAGACCCAGCCAGGTTTCCGGTTTCCCCAGCCATGGTGGTACCTCCAAAATCTCTCACCCAAGTCTTTGGAGCGCACGATGATCGTATTGAAAGCGATGGTTTAAAAGTTTATCCCATGACCATCCCATGAGTTTATCCCATGAAAAAGTCTCCATGTTTCAGAGTTATATATGGTTAATCTATGGTTAATAATTGGAATAACAATTGCAAACTGGTTGGTGGTGACTGGAACATGTGGATTATTTGTTCCATTCATATTGAGAATAATAATCATCCCAACTGACGAAGTCCATCATTTTTCAGAGGGGTAGGTTGAAACCACCAACCAGACAAACTGGTGCAGGATTTCATCCACAATATTTTCAAGCAAAGCCATGGTTTTCTTTTAAGAACCCCCCAAATCCCCGAGACAAAGTTCAGACTTCTTCAGCAGCCAAGGCCGTTCCCACCCAGCACTACCCAAAATGCTGACCCTGCAGCGGAAACAACCGAAGCACAGGGAGAGCTGCAGGTTTCGTGGGTCAGAGGTGGGTTGGGCACATGGAGGCAATGAAAGGGCAATTGTGGAATATCCATCTATAGTATCTATAGTCATTTTATAGTCTGTATCATTTGAAATATCCCATTTACATCCCACTATTTAAAGTGAACCCCATTATGTATAGCGGTAGGTGTATCTACCACAAATCCCAGTTAGTCCACTTGTAACTAAGTTAGCTAATTATGGTTGCTGGTTTCAATTATATTCATCTACATCCCATGAAAGATCCCATTAAGATAGAAAATTGTTGCAATGTGAGGCCCCCAAGTTATGAGTTGATTTATAAACACCATTAACATCCATTAACTATAGCTATATTTACCATAAACCATAGAATTAGCCACTTATAAGGCAACTGAACGCTATCTTGGGGGGCCTCACATTGTCTGATTTTCCCAATTTTTCGTGGCTCCTCAACGTAGGTTGATCCTCTAGGGCTGGTGAAGGTCCAGGGCGTTGCCCCTGCCAGGAGACGGCTGGCGCTGCCGATGGTGCCGGCAGCCAAAAGGTGCCGGTGAAAACTCTCATAATAGCATTTGGAATGATGGCTAATAATAATAGTTCCTGGAATATATTACTAATAGATTACTAATAGTTAATACTAATAGTATCTGGATAATAATTTCATCCAAATAATAGCATTAATGTTCTTTTTTCTCTGGAATGATGGAACATTCGATAGCTATTAATAATAGTAGTACATTAATATCCCGCTCATAATATCCTATCAATAGAATAGTAATTTCCATGGATTTGTGATGGATCTACAATGTGAGGCCCCCGGCCACGATAGCTAAGTTGGGGTTCACATAACTCCAATTTCACTCTGGTTTTTGCTACTTATAACTTTTTATAACATATTATAACTACAGTTAGATGGTGTTATAAACCAACTTATAGCTATGCGGCCCCACGTTGTAGGATTTGGGGAATCATCCCCAAATGGCCTTATTTCAGGTTAGCGGCATATGTTCATTTACGCAGATATCCGTACACCTTGGTTGAAGAGGTTGTTGTGCTGTTCCATAAAGGGAATATATCCCTAAACGCCCCAAGTGCCCAGAAGAATTTGCATTCTATCCTTTGAATCTAGGACATTTACCAGCTTTGTTGGGTACTTGGAGGGTCTAGGTTTATACATAAATACTATATATCTACATACACATCAATGTATATGTATATATATATATTTATATATATATATACATATATATAAGTGTATTGGTTTTTAACCAGCTAGATCTTTGTTGGGCAGGGTAGCTGTTTGAAACACGGAGCTCTGTCCACTACAAAAAGAGATTTCACTCGGTAAAGCTGAGGTATGTTCACCAGGTAATTACCACTAAACATGAAGAACAGTTACCAATAAAAAATGCTAGTTTTGGTAATTTTACTATTACATGACTAAGTCTAATTTAAACATTCCAATTGGTTAAAAATCCCATGGAAAAATGCCCACTCAACATCCAATTACATCCAATTACATAGTTGGAATGTCCAACAGTCGTTGCTTATGTAAAGAACTGGGGATATAGCCTACATGGACTGATACGTTGATCACCGTTGATCACTAGACAAACGGTCAGGAAAGCAACACATGAGGAATCCGCAGGGCGAGTTGTTGGACGACCCAAGATTTCGCTGGGCATAGTGACATGGTAGGAGGTTTACCCTCTGGTAATTTAACATAACTATTGAACATCACCATTTTGAATGGGTAGATCAACTATAAATGGCCATGTTCAATAGTTATGTTAGTTTAGAGGGTACATTTAGACGCATTGATAATCATTCACCAACTTGAACCACACACGAATAGACATACATTGAGTATGTAAAACAGTGCTGTTTGGTTGTTGCCTCGTTTGATGTTCACCTAAGCTATCGAACGGGGGCCTCACATTGTAGTATATTTAATTTATACAACTTTATAGCACACCATCCATTGGAAATCCTACCAACAAAGTTCACCAACCAGTTGACCCACCTTGTTTGAATCACCATGAAAAAACCACCATGAAACCATGTCCGATGGCTCAGCGCTGTCAGGAACCGGAACCGCTGCATGCCGTGGAGCCGAACGGGCCGGCAGAGAAGCTTGGCGTTGGGGGGGGCTGAGATGAAACCTTTTAGTGTTGTTTATGATGGAATGATGATGGCAATAGTGGTTAATAGTGATGGTTAATAGTGGTGAATAGGCTATAAACCAACAACAGGAATATGATGCTGATCTGGTTGGTGGTTTGGAACATGAATGGATTATGACTTTCCATTCGGTTGGGAATTTCATCATCCCAACTGACTCATATTTTTCAGAGGGGTAGGTATACCACGGACCAGAAACCTTTTAGTGTTTTTTTTGGGGTTCGTTATGTAGTGGTATAGCGAATTGGGTACCCATATCACTCCGATTTTTGATAGTAGTGGTTCATAGTAGTTTATGGTGTTAGTTTATGTCGTGGTTTATGTAGTGTTTTTTCAGGCTTTTGTCGGTTTTTGTCGTGGTTTTTCATGGGATTTTGTTCAGATGTTTCAGGGAGGAATTTCAGTGGATTTTTGTTACTGGTTAAATCTGGTTAAGATGATGAAGTCCATCTTAATCCACCAGAGTTTCGTTTGGGGCTGTTGAATATGAATGGGGGATGGGATTACAACTTACTGGTGCGTTTTACGTAGGGTTGCTGGATGGGTTGCTGGGCAAATGGGATGATGAAATTACTAGTGATGAAATGGATCATTCCCTCAAATTCCCTGCGCAAAACGCACCAGTAAGACAAGCACTGGTCATCCAACCGCTAATATGTGGTTTATTGTGGAGTATGGCATAAATATGGAGGTTTCTTGAAATGGACCTCCAGTTCTCATCCATTTATAGATGGAGTTTCCATGAAATAAACCATCCAGCGAGCTTGGGGATACCCCATAAATTGGAAACCCCATCAACGAAGTCATCGAACTTGGCGAAGTCATTGAATCGACCTCATAAATTACCCTCCGGTAAACATTTACATAGCTTCATGTTTATCATTATTTAGTGGGAAAATCGCCTATTTCTATGGCCATGTTCAATAGCTATGTAACAAATTACCAGAGGGTATAATGGTGGGGTCCCCCGCGGTATGTTCATTGGTTTATGTTCCATCTCTATATATATATATAACTAGTTCGTAATGTGTATACATATTCCCCATAAACCCTAGTTATAATATACTTGCCAACTTAGATAAGTATGGGGCAGCACATTTTGGGTAACTTGATTGGAAAAAGTGGGACAAATAATCTTAACATCCATGATGGATTTGAAATGGTCTTCTAATAAGACAGCACCCCAAAAATCCAAATATGGCACATGTCCCAATAATAGTGAGAAAATATGATAGTAATATCCGAAAATGTGAAAATGCAAGCCCAATGGAGAACCCACTGCCGGAGAATAAGTGAGATAGTAGATACTAGTGGAAAAATATGTTCTTTGCTTTGGGGGTAATAATACTGGACATGGTATCACTTACTTTTGCAACTTGCATATATTATCATATATTTAAGTGGTTTGAACAAATGGAGAGATGTTCACCAACTTAGCTATCTTGGGGGCTTCACATTGTACTTATCCCTACTTATTCCTCTGAAATCCAGGGACACAACCTACAAGGTGGTGCTTCCCCTCATTATAAGGTGGTAAATATCCATCATTAACTATAGATATGGGGTTTTCCATAAATGGGTGTACCCCAACATGGATGGTTTATTTCATGGAAAATCCTATTGAAATTGGTGATTTGGGGGCATCCCTATTTCAGGACACCCAACAGTTATTGGAGGTATGTTTATCAATTTAGCTAACACACTTTTCTGCCCCACCTTGTTTGGTTGTTTCAGATTATCAAAAGCTATGGGTTAGGCAATGAAAGACCCATTGTGGCGATATTCCACGAGATATCATTTTTTTTTTAAGTTCCCAGAAGTTCCTCTGAAATCCTTTATTGTAAGGAGTTCACTAGCAAAGTATTTAAACCCGCTAAGCACAAGTGATATATATAATAATATATATGTCTGGGTAAATTATAACGACCTCACTGCGACCTCACTGGAAATCATGGTTAGTAAGGGGAATCATCCCCAAATGGCCTTAATTCAGGTTAGTGAAATATTATAATTTACCCAGATATATATGATCTAACTTTGTTTGAGAAACCACACCAACCAAGTACAAGGTGGCGCCAACCAGCCATAAAGTTAGTTGTTGAACCCATCAATGATTGTTGGAGAAACCACCAGAAGCGTTGAGGTTAATTAGATATATCCACATAGATAATGTTACTGTGTCCATTTATATATATATATACATATACCATATATTCATAGCTAACCCCCATGTACTACAGTGAAATTGGATTACCCTCTGGTTATAATACAGCTATTGAAAATGGCCATAGAAATAGTTGATTTAGCCATCAAACATGGTGATTTTCCATAGTTTTTTGTTAACGTTTACCAGAGTGTACATTAATATCTATCAATCATATGACAATGGGATATGATTACAGTATAGTTGATTTACGCAAAGATGGTGATTGTCCAGTTCGTGAACTGTTAGTTTACCAGAGGGCAGCCACCAGAAAGCTCCAATTTTTGGTGGATCCCAAGGCCCGTCCCAGCTCCGCCGGAGCTCGAACAGCCTGACCCAGCTCCACAGGCGAGGCTCCCAGGTGATGTGAAGCAACAAAAAAAGGATGGGACATCCCCAAGAAATGCTACAATGTGGGGCCCCCAAGTTATGTTTGTTGGTTTAGATTCGCCCCAATAACTAGTTCGTTATCTGCGTACCATAAACCAGAGTGAAATTGGAGTGATGTGAACCCCAACTTAGCTATCTTGGGGGCCTCACATTGTAGAGATCATAGGGATACTCATGGTAGAAACGAAGGGAATCATCCACAAATGGCCGAGTTTTTGAGATGAAAAAACAGAAGCGGGTGAATATCTGTGTAAACCGATTGAAATATGAATGGTTTGCTAGAACTAGGATAGATACATACACAAACCAGTTACTTGTTGCATGGTTTCTAAGACTTGCAATGAAAGGGGATAGCTTCACAGTGTGCAGATGGAAGATTCACAAAAGCGAGCATTTGGTGAAGACATTCAAGGTGGTGCCCCCACGGGTATAAGTTGGTATGTAAAAGATAGCAACTATATATAGAGATATAGATATAGATATATTTACCATAAACCCAATAGTCATTAACTAGTCTACTAGTATGATATATGTACGGTAAACCCAAGAGTCATTGGAGTTATGTGAACCCCAACTTAGCTAACGCTGGGGCACCACCTAAAAAAGTTGACCCGGTCGCCGGCTGATGACAAATTCAATGGGAGATCTTCAGGATCCTAAAATGGAGGTACTGTACCATATAAGGCCATATTTTCTGCGGATATTCCCTTACATAGGCCTGAAAAATTGGCCTTATATATGGTAGGCCTGAAATGGCCATTGACTAAGCAGTAGTTTACTTTGGCAACGGAAGATGATCATTGTTATAACTCATCTGTTTCCTCGACGCTGATGATGTCCACTGGCGATATGCCTCGCAGTTGGCTGGGGAATGTTGGTGATCAAAAGTCTAAATGAGCAGGCTTCGCGTAGGATTCGCGTAGGCTACCTTTCCATTCAGCGTAGCCTTCGCGTAGGCTTCGCGTTGCCTTTGCGTAGGCACTCTTTGCGAACTACCCCCCAGCGTAGGCTACTTCTGCGGCCCGCATAGGCTTCGCGCAGACTTCGGTTAGCCTTGATAAGTTCAAAGGGCTTAGCATACAAAGTTCAAATGGATGAGTCAAAACCTGTAGGCTGTTTCATAAAGTTTCGGGGAGTAGACTCAACCATCAATTTTTGGTGGTTGATCAAGTTGATCAATGTGAACCGCTGGATGGGTTCACTGTGGCTATGGCCGCCAAGGCCCGACCCCAGTTATGGTTGGTTGCGGTTCCTAGAACAGCTATTTGGTTTTCCTCACTCGTTTTTGAGGCAGTTCCATGCTTAGTAACTATAGTATTGTGATTCCTAGCAAGTAAAACTATGGATTTTCCATATCTGTCTCAATTAACTGGCCCCATTTTCACGGCTTTTTACTGGAACATGTCAGACAAGCTTTTCAGAGATTTTTGCCACATCACATCGTCCAGGAGCTTGGAGAAGCCGAGATTTGGTTGGAGCTACTGGGCTGCATCAGAATGTCTTGATGAGTCAGTTACCCTCTGGTTATTTAACATAGCCATGGAAGCCATGGCCCATAGAAATAGATGATTTTTCCAGCGACATCAACCTCCATTTATTTTGGGGATTTTCCATGGCTATGCTGGTCATAACCAGATGGTATATCGGAATAGGTCAAGTTACCTTGCACCTCTGGTGAACATCCAAATAGCTGGATGATGCTGGATGTTCATCCCGTAACATTGCATCTATAGGTCTTGATCCATAGCCGTAAAGTTTGATTTGCCAGGGTAAATGGGATGATAATCTATAGATGATATAATAATCATTATCTATGTTTCATTCCATTATCTATTTATCATCCGTGGCATGATTATCATCCCATAATTATCCCATTACCCTCTGGTAAACTAACATAGCTATTGAAAATTGCCATAGAAATAGTGGATTTACCCATTAAAAATCGAGATTTTCCATAGTGAACTGTTAGTTTACCAGAGGGTATCTCAATCAACCTGGTTTATAGGATTCTCACCTGGAACAAGTGAATCGGAATTCGAATCCTGCATTTGCTGAGTTTACTTTTTCGGAGGTTCCTTAATCAAATCCAAATTTAAACCCCGGAATCATGGTTACCTTTTGGTTCATAACGATCACAGTGGTTCATAATGACTAATATTGACCCATCTACTATAATGATGGGTGGAAGACCTGTTGCTTGCTGGTTCGGAAGTTATACTATCCGATAAGAGAGCTAGGATTATCATCATCCATAGTGGGAAATCCCAAGAACACACTTAACCAACCAGTAGACTTGATGTTATTTGCTGGAATATGTTGGAATGTTGATTAATACAATGTGGCCCCCCCCAGTTATAAGATGTTATGTTTGTTGGTTTAGATTCGCCCCAGTAACTAGGTCGTTATTTGCGTCCCATGTTTGCCATAGTGAAATTAGAGTGATTAGTTCACCCCAACTGAACGCTATCGTGGTCGGGGGCCTCTCATTGTACTTATCCCTACTTATTCCTCTGAAATCCAGTGACTATAGTTATAAGTACCAGAAACCATAGTTATTGGAGTCATCAACCAACATTGTAGTTTGGGGTGTGCGGATACAATGACTTGACAGGGATACAATTGATCTCGTGGAGGTCTTCCCGTCCATCCAATACTAAACAAAGAAGAATCACCTCAGAAGCCCCAAAATCATCGAGGTTTCTGTTTTTTGGTACCCCATTTTATCAATGGGAAAATCACGTATGATCAATGGGAAAACCAATGGTTCGCCAATGCAATGGTATCAAGGGGGTAGCCTTTTTTTTTTTAGAAAACCTCCATATCAGACCGGGGAAAGTCGTGGGGAAGGATCTACATCCGTGGGGTTAAAACCCCACATCTGTGTTAGTTTTTTTACTGGTGATTTGATGGTGGAAAACCATAGGAAAATGGTGGCTTAATGGTGGTTTAATGGGCTTTAACCAACAAAATTGTGATTTGATGGTGATTTACCCTCTGGTAATTTGTTACGAAGCTAATGGAAATGTCCACAGAAATAGTTGATTTAGCTTTTTAGAAATGGTGATTTTCCATAGCTATGGTAATTTAACAGAGGGTAAGCTGGAGAAACCCTGCATGGGCAGATCATTTTGATCTTTTGCTATAACTTCAACTGCAGTAATTCCTCAAGGGTGACACCTAAAAAAATGTATATTTAGGGAGTCCCCTTTTTAGGAAACCTCCATATACCAAGCAAGTTGCAGGTATCATACCAGTCCAATAGGTTGATTTTTACCCCATGCGTACGTGGCGTGGGTGGTGGGAGGTGAATGGCTGACCATAAAGTGATGGTGGGTACCCTCTGGTAATTTGTTACATAGCTATTGAACATGGCCATTTATAGTGAGTTTTCCCATTAAAAAATGGTGATTTTCCATAGTTATGTTAGTTTACGAGTGGGTAACGAGAACCAACCCTTGTTCCCAAGCATATGATAGATTATATTATCCTATTGTACCCCCATACCATTCAACCACCATTTAACCACCATTTAACCATCATAAAACCTCCTGGTATCAATGCTGTGTCAAATTGATAGCCCTAAATGTACCATGGTCAAGATCCGCCCTTGAAAACGTGGTGAAGTGTCGTGATCGAGATTCACCTCGCTGGGGTGTTTCCGTTAGTTGACCTCCGGTTAACTTACTTGTTGTGCGTTTCTAAACGTAGGGAATTTTCGGGCATGATCCATTTCATCGCTGTATAGTAAGAATATGTAAGAATAACCCCAGCAACCCCCAGCAACCCATCCAGCAACCCTACGTAAAACGCACCAGTAAGACAATGTTCCCTCAAGAATTACTATCACCAGTGGACTGGGAAGCCATATGCACCATCCAGAATTCGCGAATCATTCCCGCAATTATGGCCATTTCATGTCGAACATGAGGATTCACATTTCCATGGATTCGGGAGTAGCCTATTTCAAGTCAAAGCCATTTTGATCTCAAGAAGATTCCATCAAATGCATGTCAAAAGGGATTACCTTGCAACATACGTCTTTGCAATGATGATATCAAAATGGGTTTGACTTGAAATAGGCCCCTTGATTATCAATGGGCATGATTACAAAACATTATTCCTTCAAACATTTATTCTGCAACATGACGATTTTTTACTAGGGATACTTGGTGGTCCATCCCACTTAGTAAGTAGGTTATAACCCTGGTGATAAATGGGATAAGTAGGCTTAGTCTTAGTCCACTTATAACTACGGTTATAACCCACTTACTAAGTAGGATGAACCACCAAGTACGGATAAAGTTTTTAGAGGCCCTGATGTCGCAACACTGGAGCTGTTGCGTTGAATAACCCAGGACACCCAGGCATCCAAAAACGGGCGTTGAGAACTCGGCTTTGAAAGTTTGAAAAACCATGATATGTTTCATGAAAACGAGTTAAAACAAGAGTTACAAAGAATGATTTTCTGGTTTAATTCTTGGTATCATACATGGTCATATAGACCCTTTTTCCATCTTTTTCCATCTATTGAACCTAGTTTTTATTCTATGCATCAGAGATCATGAAAGTGACAGGACTGCGGTTTGAACTGGAGGTAATTAGCTCAGGCCCCCCAAGTTCAATGTGTGAAAGCAGTGCTTGGTGGAGCCTTCAAAATAAGCAGCCATTCTTGCTCCGATCATTGGGAAGCACTGGATAGCAACATTGATACAGGGGGTCTGGGGGCTTGCGGTGCATGCTGAACCATTTTTGGTCGATTGATGTTTCTTTTGAAGGTCCGCCTGTTAACTCGGGCAAACGTCATCACTTTCAGACTTTCAGAATAGAGAAACATTTTGACGCCGTAGACGCTTCTTAGCGGGTCTTTGAAAAGCCCTTGGAAGGCACCAGGGTCTGGAGAGGAATTAAATCAAAATTTACCATCTGGTTATGACTAACATAGCCATGGAAAATCCCCAA